ATTAATTTCTTTCTATTTTTAGTAGAGACGGGGTCTCGTTCTTGCTCAGGCTGGTTTTGAACTCCTGAGCTCAAACAATCCGCCCGCCTCAGCCTCCCAGAGAGCTAGGATTACAGGCGTGACTCTTTTAGGTTTTCTACATAGATGATCATGTCATCTGCAAATAAAGACAGTTTTATTTCTTCCTTCCCAATCTGTGTACCTTTGATTTCCTTTTCTTATCTTATTGCATTAGATAATAGATGTTTTTTTTTTTTTTTTTTAACCATTAAGTATGATGTTGGCTATAGGGTTTTTGTAGATATTCTTTACCAAGTTGAGGAGATTCCTCTCTATTCCTAGTTTACTGAGAGTTTTTTTTTTTTTTAAATCGTGAATGGGTGTTAAATTTTGTCAGATGCTTTTTGTGCATCTTTTGATATGATCATGTGATTTTTCTTCTTTAACCTTGCTGATGTGATGGATCACATTAATTGATTTTTGAATGTTGAACCAATCTTTCATACCTGGGATAAATCCAGCTTGGTTGTAGCATGTAATTCTTTTTATACATAGTTGGATTCAATTTATTAATATTTTGGTGAGGATTTTTTTCATCTGTGTTCATGAGAGGTATCAGGCTATAGTTTTTTGTGTTTTTTTTCTTTCTTGTAATGTCTTTGTCTGGTTTTGGTATTAGGGTGATACCAACCTCACAGAATGCATTGGGAAGTAATCTTCTGCTTCCATCTTCTGGAAGAGATTGTAGAGAATTGGTTAATTTCTTCCTTAAATGTTTAGCAGAAATTACCAGTGAACTTAGCGAGGCTTGGTGCTTTACATTTTGGAATGTTATCAATTATCTATTCAATTTCTTTAATAGATACTGGCTTATTCAGAGTGTCTGTTTCTTCCTGTGTGAATTTTGGCAGGTTGTATCTTTCAAGGAGTTGGTCCATTTCATCTAAGTTATTTTAAAAGATGTATTCGCTAGGTATAGAGATTTTTTAAGGCACATTTTTGAAGCTCATTAAACTAGGCTTAGAGGTTTTTTTTTTTCTTTCAGTACTTACTTTCAAGTTGTCACACCATTGCCTTCTGGGTTACATATTTTCTGAGGAGAAGTTTGTTGTCATTCTTATATTTATTCCTGTGTATGTAATGTTTCTTATCTGATTACTTTGATGATTTTCTCTTTATCTTGGAGTTTAGCAATTTGACTATGATGCACTTAGATGTGTTTTTCTTTGTATTAATCATGCTTGGGATGCTCCAAGCTTCTTGAATCCATGGTGTTTTGTCTTGTCCTAATTTTGGAAATCTCAGCAATGATCTCTTCAAATTATTTCTTCTCCCCTGTTCTCTGTCTCTCTGTCATTCTTTCTCTCTGGCCTTTCCCCCCTCTATCTCCTTCTGTCCCTCTCCTCCTTCTGGGACTCCAATTATCCATACTTTAGTTAGTTTGATATTGTCCCAAAGCCCTTGGTTGTTTTGTTTTCTCTTTCTCTCTCTCTCTCTCTCTCTCTCTCTCTCTCGCTCTCGCTCTCGCTCTCTTCCCCTTTCGCTCTTTCTTCTCTTTATAGTTACGTTTGGGCAATTTGTTTTTACTAATTCTTTGCTTTGCTGTATGTAATTAAAAATTATTCATCTCCAATATTGTATTTTTTTGTCATTTTAGTCTTCAGCATTTTGCTGAAATTTCCTATCTGTTCAATGTGTCAAACGCCTTTTTAACTAAGTCTTTTATAGTGATCATTTTGGTTATTTTAAAATCTTTGTTTGATGGTTCTAACATCTGGGTGGTTCATCCCTTGGTCTGGGTCTGTTAACTACTTTATCTCTTTGTAAGGAATCATTCATTTGTCTTGCTTTTTTGTGTGTCTATTTTTTATTGAATGCTAGATCTTCTGTGTGACAGAATGGTAGAGACTGAGATAAATATATTTATGCCTGGGAAAGGCATGCCTTTTATTCTGCCATGTTGTTAGTGTGGAGTGTTGAGTCAGTCCAGTGGGGAGTTGAATGGTGCACAGCTGATACCCTGTGCTCGTGTGGGACCTGGAGCCCTGAACAGTTCTTCTCAGTGTTCCTGCTTCAGACATAGCATTTAGGAGGCCCTGCCACCTCATTGTCCTGTGCTGCACACCAGAGAGGAAGAGGAGGAGAAAGAGTCTTTTTCTATACTCCAGTGTTAATTAGGTTACTATTGTTACTTGGCACGGGGCTCATGGAAGGGGTTTTGGGGATTTAATATGGTTTTCTTTTGTTTTAGCCTCAGTCTTGGGCAGGCCCTGTAGGTGGAGCTTAGGCCTTGTAGGTGGAACTTTCTCTGATGTCCCTTGTCAGTGGAGATTTTGATGGCATACCCTGGTTCTTTTCCACCTCTGTGCACTGGGTATGTTGGAATTGATTTCAACGTTCTTGGGAAAGCTCCAAAAGCTATTGCCATTTCCCTGTTCAAACTCCAGTACTCTACAGATTGATATTTGAACAGTGTAGCTCTGACCCTGTCCCCTGCATAAACCCCCTCTAGCGCATCCCATAGCCCCTCTGGTCAAACGCTTTGAGCTCTATAGTCTTCTGCCTCTCACCCTGACCTTCTCTCATTATTTAAATCTGGTCCTTAACCCTGGCCCTAGACCATCAGTTTTGAAAGTAGATTTCTTTCTATGTATTACTAGAGAAAAAACAGTGCCTAGCAGCTGGTAGGGGCTGAGTAGCAGTTGCAAATGGGTGCAAGCACCCTGTTTTCTTTCTCCTCCTGTAAACCCCTTCCCTCCTGGGCCTGCCAGCAGGTAGACTCCTGCCCAGCCTCCAGATTCATGCACAGATGGCACAAGGCAGACATTCACCCCTAAGATTGGGTAGGGGCCTTTCTCCTGCCCACTTCCTGCCCTGTGCCTGTCCATCCTGGCACAGATATAACGGTATTGAACTCCTCCTAGTTCCCCTGGGTGGTGACCATGGGGACTGGACCTGCCCTACCCGGCCCTGGGCAGGCCCTTGGTGAGCGTGCTATGGACCTTTGCTACACCAGTGTGGCTGCCCAGCTTTGGAAGACTGATTCTTCATGTGCCTGCAGAGTTGATTTAAGATTTTCTTAAACCCCTTTTCTTGTTTTAGGAAAAAGTGAATCACCTCATTCCCTTCTGTGGATAAGAGGACTTGGGCTAGGAGCATGTGGTGTGTCCTGCGAGGCTGGAGGCAAGGGCTCCTGGGCCTGCATGGAGCCCTGGGGCTGCGGCAGCCCCTGGGCCTTCGAGCTCTGGCCCATGTGGGTTCACAGAGCGGGGACGAGTACAGCTACGTGGTGGTGGGCGCAGGCTCCGCAGGCTGTGTGCTGGCCAGACGACTCACAGAGGACCCCAATGAGCACGTGCTGTTGCTGGAGGCCGGGCCCAGGGACTTGTACGCAGGGAGCAAGCGGCTCTTGTGGAAGATCCACATGCCTGCGGCCCTCGTGGCCAACCTGTGCGACGACAGGTACAACTGGTGCTACCACACGGAGCCGCAGCCAGGCCTGGATGGCCGGGTGCTGTACTGGCCTCGCGGCCGAGTCTGGGGAGGCTCCTCATCCCTCAATGCCATGGTCTATATCCGTGGGCATGCTGAGGACTACAACCGCTGGCACCGCCAAGGCGCTGAGGGTTGGGACTACGCCCACTGCCTGCCCTACTTCCGCAAGGCGCAGGGCCACGAGCTGGGTGCCAGCAGGTACCGCGGCGGTGATGGCCCTCTGCACGTGTCCCGGGGCAAGACCAACCACCCACTGCACCAGGCATTCCTGGGGGCGGCACAGCAGGCTGGCTACCCCCTCACTGAGGACATGAACGGCTTCCAGCAAGAAGGCTTTGGCTGGATGGACATGACCATCCATGAAGGTAGTGTGTGGCCGCCCTTCTCCATCTACCTGGTTCCTCCTTTAAAAAAAAAGAAACTATCCCCTGTCATGGTCAGTAAGTGTGGACAGGCTGGGGCTGGAGTAGGTGGGAGGGATGTGATCCCTAGATGCCACAGAGCACAACCCAAAGCCCAATGGGAAATGACTGAGGAGAGTGACACTGAGGGCATTCTCTAGGCCTCTTGCCCCTGTTGGTATGGAAAATGGAGTCAGAGGGCAAACAGTCCAAAGTCCTCTAGAGACTTGCAGATGGGGAAACTGAAGCACAGAGCAGCAGCAAGGAACACATGGCCCTCTTTCCCCCTCTCCCTGGCTCATTTCCTCACCAGAGCCATGTCTGTCCTTCATGGGTGGGGAAACTGAGGCACAGTGATGATGAGCCTTGCTCACAGCAGGACAGAGGCAAGGCCAGGCTGCTCTGGGGCTCCTGCCCACCCCTTCAGGGTTCTCCCCTTCAGTCAGTTGTTCCTGGCCTTTGTATCATTCTGTCAAGGGCGAAGGTTATTTTTCCACCTGCTCCCAGGGGACTCCAGGCAGATGTGGACTTCAGTAGGGCGGGTCTTTTGGTCTCAGCCTCACTGTGAAGGCAGGGCTCGCACAGTCAGGATGGGACACATGTGTTCTCTCTCCAGCCCCTCCCTTCTGCCCAGGTGCGGGGGAGGGGCAGGGCCCAGGCCTGATCTCCTTGCTCCATCCTGCAGGCAAGCGCTGGAGCACGGCCTGCGCCTACCTGCACCCAGCCCTGAGCCGCACCAACCTCAGGGCCGAGGCCCGGACGCTTGTGAGCAGGGTGCTGTTTGAGGGCACCCGTGCAGTGGGCGTGGAGTATGTCAAGAACGGCCAGAGCCACACGGTGAGTGAACGACAGCTAGGGGGCAGGACAGGTGTGGGCAGGAACCCTGGTGGTCAGGCTTAGGGTAGGCAGAAGTCACGCCCTCCTCCTAGCTACACACTCTCATCCCTGGGATGAGGGGTGAGCAGCTGGTGGCAGTGGCCTGATGGCTTGTCCTTAGGGCCTCATAGGAGGCAGTGAGGAAGCCCCCAGCCCTGCCACCTGCAGAGGGTCTGTAGTACCCCAGTGTGGTTGCCCCCAGAGCCTCTGGTACGACACCCACCTTAGAGCAGCCCCCGGTGCCTTCCACGTGTTCCGAGGCGCTGACCTAACAGAGAGTTACAGGTTTATGCTAGAGGTTGGAACATTCATGAACGTGATTGGACTCTACATCTCTGCGGCGGCAGCAGTGTGTCAGGTTGTGTTTCACCCCCATGTGTCAATCTGGCTCGCTGCTTAACCTTATTTAGACCACTTGCTTTCATTCATCTCACGTAAGCTTCCCTGTGCTGTTTTAAGACCCTGGTCACTGTCTGGCTGTGGCAGAACGTATCAGAGCGTGGCCACACTCGATCATGACACACCACGACTGCATGTGCGGGTTGCTTTCCAATAGCAACACCGCTAACTTCCTCCCCTTGACCCCGGCCTGTGAGCCGGCTCTCCGCTGCCACCGCAGCAGTTTTCTTCCCAGCGCGCCACGTGGGTTCCACATGCTGCGTTCTCATGGCGCTGGCCAGAGTGGCACTGGCCCACGAGTCAGGAGAATGGCTGGCTTGTCAGGTGTGACCTGGCTGGCCCTCTGCCCCTTCTAGGCTTACGCTAGCAAAGAGGTGATTCTGAGCGGAGGCGCCATCAACTCTCCGCAGCTGCTCATGCTCTCGGGTGTCGGGAATGCAGATGACCTCAAGAAACTGGGCATCCCTGTGGTGTGCCACTTGCCTGGTGAGCCCCCTTCAAACTTCCCCAGAGGCTGTCTCTGCTCAGCAAAATGGCTTCTTGTACTTTATTAGCCCGGAACAGGGAGGGGGTGAGAGTCAGTGCTCCGTGGAACTGTCATGTCCTTCCCATGAGCCCTTCCCATGTCCCCCAGGCCTCACCTGACACCCTTACCCTGGGCCCTGAGTCTTTGCGTTGTTTCCTTCTCCCTCCCTGGCCACCCCATCCCACTGGGAGGAGTATCCACCCACGAATCCCCGCTGGCCGGGTGCGGGCCTGTCACCAGGGCAGCTCTGTGGTGAGAGGGGTCCAGGCTCTGTTCCCATCCACGGTACTCACCAGCTGCCCTAGCATTCGTGAGGTCAGCTCAGTACTGCGGAGCCTGCTCTTCACGTCAGACCTAAACTTTGTTTCATAAACTGTCTTCGGTGCCCTTGCGGACCTGGCCCTGGCTCTTACCCTCTGTAAGCCACACTCCCAGCAGGACCTTGTGCACGCGGGCTTTGGCGTGAGGGCCTGTGGGAGTGCAGCTTCCTCCTTCCCCAGGCCGGGGCTGCTGTCCCCATTCAGCGACAGCTCACCAAGCAATGCCTGCTGCAGGTGTGGGCCCTGCCCGCATGGAGGGTGCTGCTCAGCGGGGCTGACAGAGGGCATCTGGAGGCTGCCCTGGAGCATGTGAGAGAGGGCCGGACTTGGCCAGGGTGCTTGGTGTCTCTGCCTTTAAGCTGAGACCTGGGGGCCGAGCAGGAGCTGGCCCAGAAAATTAGTGGATAGATGAAAATTTTTCAAAACGGGGGGAGTGTGGAGAAGCCAGCTAACCCCCCCTTGGCAGCCATGTTTCCTGACCACTCCCTCCCATTTCAGGAGTTGGCCAGAACCTGCAGGACCACCTGGAGGTATATGTTCAGCAGGCGTGCACCCGCCCCATCACCCTCCATTCAGCACAGAAGCCCCTGCGGAAGGTCTGCATTGGTCTGGAGTGGCTCTGGAGGTTCACAGGTGGGCACTCGCCCGTGGCCTGGGTGGAGAGGGTCTGTGGGTCCATGGCCTCCTTCCTATGCAGCCGAGCAAGGGCTCCGGCCTCAGGGTGCTGGGTTCAAAGCTGGACTTTGCCATTTGCCTCAGCCCTGAGCTTCTGTTTTCCCTTCTGCAAAATGGGGACAGGCAGTTGCTGCCTGGTGGGCTGCTGTGAGGACTGGAAGCAATAGCTCACGCTGTGGAGCTGAGCACGGGGCCTGCTCGAGGCGAGACTGAGCAGGGTTAGGTGCTGCTCTTCCTTATGGATGGACATGGGTGGCCTTGAGCCAGACACCATGTGGGCACCAAGGGGCCAGGAGAAGAGGTACAGAGAAGACCTTGGTGCCAGACTGAGGAATCGGCATCTATCTTTCAGCATTTTCATTCTTGTTCTAGCTGTGTCTCAGAGTACTGCCTACACTAGGAAATGGCATTTATTCAGCCTGCGTTTCTCGCACACCTACTGTGCGCCATGTGCTGTGCTGGGTGGTAGGCCTGGGAGAGCCGCCTGGGGAAGAGGACAGATGTGACAGGGCTTGGGCCCAGGCCCCAGCATGGAGGCCAGGAGAAAGGAGGTCGCCCTGACTGGCTCTTCTGCCTGACCCTTTCCTGATCCTCAGGGGACGGGGCCACTGCCCATCTGGAAACAGGTGGCTTCATCCGCAGTCAGCCTGGGGTCCCCCACCCGGACATCCAGTTCCACTTCCTGCCGTCCCAAGTGATTGACCATGGGCGGGTCCCCACCCAGCAGGAGGCATACCAGGTGAGCAGATGGCATCTTGGCCCCACGGGACACTTCCTTTCCCCCTTTGGTAAGGGAAGATGCTCTCATCTTCTGCGGCAGCAGGGCCTTCAGGGTAGCAGGCACAATAAGCCTGCCCCTACCCTCCAGCTACCTAGCGTGCGGAGTGGGAAGAGGAGCAGGGGAGCCCAGCGAGGTGGTCTGTGTGGTACATGCAGAGGTATGACCACACCAGCTTGGGGCAGATATTCTAGGTCCCAAGCACCAGCAATGGGACAAATGAGCCTGGCTGGGCCCTGGGGTTGCCACCCCGGAAGTTCGGATAGCACAGTATAAAGCCAGGAGGAAGGAGTGATCCATCGAGGTGGTTTTCAACCCCTGGTGGAAGGGAGGTAGGATGCAGGCAAGTGCTCAAATGCGTCTGCTCCTAACTGGCTCTGGAAGCAGAGGCCCACCCCGCAGGACACCCGGGGCCTCCCTGAGCCACTGAGCTGGGGGTCACTGCTTCCTTGGGGTTCTCCTAGGTGCACGTGGGGACCATGCGGGGCACGAGTGTGGGCTGGCTCAAGCTGAGAAGTGCCAATCCACAAGACCACCCGGTGATCCAGCCCAACTACTTGTCGACAGGTAATTCAGCAGCCACCTTCATCTGGCCTGGCCTTGAATGAATGAACGCCTGTTCCTGTTTGTCCCCAAGCCTTGCCTCTGGGCCACACTTGGAGACACGAGTTACCCTCTCCCCCACCCTGCCCCAGCACTCCAGGCTGTCCACTTGAACGTGCTGCTCCGTAGTGTTCTGAGTCTTCATTTTACACAGGGGGAGAGATTTGCAGCTTTCAGAACACGAGGTGCAGGGAGACCTGGCTGTGCTCACACAGCGTTTTCCTGCTGTTACTCTAAGCAGCCTCCAGAAGCAAATCATGTTTCTGGGTCTGCTTCTTTGCAGGCAGCAAAAACGAGCACTCCCCATCTGCTCACAGCCACCCTGGGGCAGAGGCAAGATGTGTGTTCTTATCCCTGCCTCGCACATCAGCCCGACCCCGATTTAAACCTGGCCTCTGGGGCAGGCTGTGTCTGTCTAGGCGGCCACCTTTTAGCTACCCAGGACTCTGCTTGGTTGCAGCCTAACCACCTATGGGCAGGTGACAGGCAACTCCGTGCCTCAGTCCTCCTCATCCCTGAACTTTGTCCCCAAACCCTCTCTCCTCTGGCAGCTTACTGAGCTTATTGAGGCCACGCGGTAAGAGGGGGAGTCTCACCCATGTCCTCTTCTTGACAGAAACAGACATTGAGGACTTCCGTCTGTGTGTGAAGCTCACCAGAGAAATTTTTGCACAGGAAGCCCTGGCTCCATTCCGGGGGAAAGAGCTCCAGCCAGGGAGCCACGTTCAGTCAGATAAAGAGATAGATGCCTTTGTGCGGGCAAAGGCTGACAGTGCCTATCACCCCTCGTGCACCTGCAAGATGGGCCAGCCCTCCGACCCCACTGCCGTGGTGGATCCGCAGACCAAGGTCCTCGGGGTGGAAAACCTCAGGGTCATCGACGCCTCCATCATGCCCAGCGTGGTCAGCGGCAACCTGAACGCTCCCACGATCATGCTCGCAGAGAAAGCAGCTGACATTATTAAGGGGCAGCCTGCACTGTGGGACAAGGACGTCCCTGTCTACAAGCCCAGGACCCTGGACACCCAGCGTTAAGGCAATCACTGCCCCTCGACAAGCCAAGAGGGCCAGCACAGCCCTTGCTCCAAATGTCCTTCCTGAAACTGTCTAGAACGTTAGGACCCAGGAGGCACCCTACTCCGTGGCTGAGCATTGGATAATTCCTTGGGAAATAAGACCGGTATTGGGCAGAGAATCAAGCTCCTTTTCCTTGGTGTTTCCCTGTGGGCCCTTTGGGGAAGACGAGGATTCAGGCTGCGGCCTCTCCTCCCTGCCTCGTGGAGGGACAGTAGAGGCGACGGGTTCACTCCTGCCACATCCTTGCCTCGTGTCCTGGGGTGCTCTCTACCGCAGGACCCTGCAAGCCCCTGAGAGCAGGTGCTGGGCTCCCCAGGCAGAGGCATCCTCGAGCTCCAGGTGAGGCTGGAGTCACGCAGTACTTAGCTGGAGCTGCACCGAAGTCCCCAGAATCCCTGTTCAGAGGGAGAGCTGCCTGCTGGCAGGAAAGCAGGCTTTTTCTTTCCCTTTGCTTCCTAGTCTCACTCCCAGAGTGAGGCGGGTAACCGGGGCTCTGCTGGGTCATGGAGGGGCTGTGACCACTTCTCCAGTGCTCTGGTTCTTACTAAACATGATTAGCCACACTGAGAGGATTTCTGGACCTTGTTCAAGGAGAGAGGGGTCTGGAGGGAATGCCACTTGGCTTCACTACCAAAGGTTCCACAACTTAGCGTAGTAAAAGATTTTCCTGTTGCCAGAAAACGCAGAGCGAACTCCATGTACCAGATCGTGCTTCTTACTGAGCAGCTGGCCCGAGAGAGGGCTCTTTCACATCGGCCCGGGCAGCAGCTCAGCGCCAGCAACTCAGCGGCAGCGGACAGGGCTGGCTGATTCCTATTCTCTAGACGTCCACGCGAGCAGACCGGGACGGAGCTGAGACTGATGGGAAAAGCACTTAAGTACAGGCAGGCGGACCCTGTAGAAATGCCATTGCATGAAAGGAAAATAAATTGGTGAGTTTTGGGGGGAAAAAACAGATACAAGTAGCATTTAGCATTTTATACAGCTCTTTGGTCTTTAAATTTCTTATTCAATAATGTGATCCAGTAACTTATTTTTGAACTGAGATGTCTTATCCAGACTGTTCATACAAGGTAACGAAAAGTAACTGCATTTTGGATGGACTTTTCTGAAGCTGCCCACAGCTGCTGCCCTCTGGGTCCCAGAGCGGCCTGTAGGGGTGTCCGAGAGCACATGCTGATGCGGGTAAGGGCTGAGAAGGAAAGGTTAGGTGTGCGTATGAGGCGGCGGGGGAGTGGGGTGGGGTGTCCCCAGGCTGGACCATAACTGCACTGACCCTTCTGCCCTGGTCTGGACATGGACGTGGCAGGTGACAGTCACTTAGTTCTATCATCTCTGCGTCCTGTGGCGTGTCAGCCTCTGAGACAGTGGTGGATTCAGGCGGCAGCTGTATTTTAAGAGAAGCAGAACACCATGGGGTAAGAGGAGCTCGTGTGGCGTGCTGGGCAATGGCTTCCAGGCCCCCTCACCCTCGGATACTCAGGTGTGTTCCACACAATCGCACAATGTAGCCATACGTGGAAATGAGCTTCAAAAGAAAAGACAGCGAGTGTTACATGTCCAGAACGTGTCTGAAAAGTCTACTGCTATCGGGGGAGACTTTTGCCCCAGACAGAGTGGCTGTAGAAGCCAGAGTGGGGAGGGCAGGCTACAAAGTGGGGTGCGCGGAGGCTCTGCTAGCTTTAGTCTCGTGGGGAATCAGGCCCCTTGGCAAAAAGCCTGCAATACCTAAAAAGCGGAAAAAGGTGCTTTGAAAGAAAAATGCTTGAAAGAGTACAACAGAACACTGTGCTTGTGCCCTGTCGAAGAAACCTGTGTGTGCGCCACAGACCACGCCAGTGGGCGGGCAGGCTCGGAGCATCTGCCGGCAGGCCTGGAGCTGTGGGCGCCCGCACGTACCGCCTTTCTGCTAACAGTAACTTCATAAATTCAAACAGATTCTTCCCTCCAGCCAAACCTTGTCATCATCCCAGAGATTATTTTATGTTTCCACTGATAAAGCAAATTAACATCAGATTGAATACATAGACTTTCTTTTTCTTAGAAATCAGAAAAATACACCCTTCACCAGGCCAGGCTGTCCCAGACCACCCTGTCACTCCTGTTGTGATGTTGGAAGCCAGGGCCTAGGCCTGCTCTTCCTCCTCCTCCTGCCCTCCCAGTCCCCAGTAGAGGAGAGAGATCATTTTACAGAAATAAAAGCCTATTCAATGAACAAAAGCATAGCTATAGTCAGTTTCTGAGTCGGGGTGGGCAGGTTGGGGAGCTGGGGCTGTGTGTATAACACCAGCTCTGTTGCTAGCCAGTTTTTTAAATCCACCAACTGCCCTCGGAATGCTAAAAGCCTGTGTGGGAAGACGCGATTGGCAGAGACGCTTAAGGCTGCAAAAAGTACACAACGTGAAATAAGACAGACTGCTCTGGCTGCTGTCACAGGGCGGGTCAGCAGTAAAGTGGGTCGTGGGTTGCACACGGGACCCACACCCCTCCCCGTGCAGCCCTTACCCCAGGGCCCTAACACCCCGGCTGCCTCCACTCTGGAACTTCCCTGGATAGCGCTGGGAAGTGCTACCTGGTTAAGCAGGGGTCTGGCTCTTTGGGTGGAAATTGAGGTCCACACACCGAGCAGAGATGGTCCTTAGTGAGGTTCTCACTGCCAGCTGTTGATTAAATCATCGCTGTATTTCCATTTTGTGAGATTACGAAAAACACAAGATTCAAGAGACGAAATGTACTGTTCCTGTGGATGCAATTATTTTTTGCGGGGGAGGGGAAACCAAAAAGGAGAGAGATTTATTCTTAAAACTTTCCTAAAACAAAAGGAAAAAAACATGCTCTACAACTTCAAATTTTTCTTCCAAAGAAAAATTTAATATTAGATGAGAGGTCGAACCAGGCTTAAAGCAGACAGAGATTAGGAAGTGGTGCAGCCTGTAAAAACGCCAGTTTTTAAGTACTGACTTTGGAAAAGATCACCACCTACACCAGATGCTCAGGGTCCTGGTGCAGCGATTTTGGCTGGATGACATTAAGCCACACAGTAAGACCAATACCCAACGGAGAGACACAGAGTCCAAGGTAATGTTGACAGTGGTGTAGCCCTTTGGGAGAAATTGTCCTCCCTGCAGCTGGTATGAAGTTACCGTTGGCACCGAAGGAGCCAGGAAGATGAGAAAGAACCTGCGTGATTACAGAACTGCCCGCAGAGTACCTGCCCCTCAGAAGCTCTCGCTGGCACACGCCAGCCCTGTGCAAGGAGAGCTCCCAAATGTGACAAAATTATTACACAGTTTTATTCTGAAGAACATTTTGCATTTTAATAAAAAAGGATTTATGTCAGGAAATAGTCATTTACAAACCTTGGAGTGTTTTTGCCTGGACCTGGAGTAAGAATGTCTTAAGAAGAGGTTTGTAAGGTTTTTATAACAAAGTGGTGTTATTTACAAAAAACAAACAAACAAACAAAAAAAAAACCCAAAAAACGTTAACAGGTTGTCTATGTTCTATTTAAAAATTTTGAACCAAAATCGCTACCTGTCTTTTGTGATCACAGGGAATCTCTGCCAAGGTAACTTGACAAAATCAGTAGAATTCAGTTAACAGAAAAGGAAGCCTTGACGGTTCTAATGATGCCAAAGTGGGTTTTCATCAGGACGAACAATCGGAGTGTGAGTGCATTCTAATGAAAACTTCAGCCCTCGTTCAATTGCATATAAAAGCCCTCAAAGAGAACACACAGTACAGCAACGTTTTGTAAAAGGCAACAATACGATTTGTACAGACCCCGACATTCTAATCCTATAGGTCACCATGTTGCTCCCTCTGTCCCCCCACCCCCACCCCCCTTAAGACAAGCAGCACCAGTCCCCAGGGGACAAGAGCACATGTACTTCGTTTGCCTACATGAGTATTTCTGCACCAGAGATGCAAAAATGTCCCATGTGAGCAGCTGAGAAAACCAAAGTCTGGGATGCCACAGGGGCAGAGTGGGCCAGCTCGACCTACCAGAGGGTTATTAAAACAAAAGACAGTCGCAACCTACAGTGGATCAAAAGGTACAATATCAAAATCATAGAACTCTTGCCCAAAGGAAAGACTGCAAATAGTCATCTGGTATATCTTGGGTAAAGATACGTTTATAATGACTCAAAATATTTTTAAAAAATTTCTGGAGTGTCAAGTTCTTTTGAACTCAAAATTTTACCCTCAAAGGATTTTCACTGAATAAATGAGAATTGGCTCTATTTCTTCTACTTCTGTATAGCCCAAGTAAAAATACTAATAATTTCTAGATTTCAGTGGGGAACTACAATTATTAGGACCCATGGATATTGCTGCAGTTCAAATACGGTACAATAATTACAAAATATAGACCATCTCTTTACAAATACAAATTATAGTATATTACAAATCATGTACAATAAATCTATAATTTTTAAACAAACTAGCGTATCTAAGTTTACCTGGTTGCGAGTGCATTATTCCAGTTTACGGTTGCCCTTCGCATGACAGTCAGAAACCGACCATCTGAGTGATATTCTTGTATGTAAACTGGCGTCATGTAACAGAAAACCTTGTGTATGAGGTCCCATTGCCCTCTCGTGATGACTGCTGGCAGGTGGTTCTGACTTCCTCACTGTGTTTCAGAACAGCTAAACAGGAACCAGGAAGCAGTGTGTCTGGGGGAAAGGGCTTACAAATGGAGATGCTGGGCCCCGTGACTGTCTGATATGCTAGACCGAGGGCTGAGGTAATGACACAGGTGTGGTGATGGTCATCACCTGTAACCTTCCCCCGCCACGCCTTCGGGCGGGTGGGCGCAGGGCCCCACGTGCAGAAGACGCAGCCGCCACTGCGGTGCCGCTGGGACAGTCAGGCAGGCCTGTCTGCCCTCCTCACCCTTCCTCTCCGAGAGGGCTGCACCTACTGTCTCCTGCAGCCAGGCCAAGCACGTCGTGCACTGCTGGGCTCCGCCGCTCGGCACCTGTTGCCACCAGGTTTATGGCTTTCTTGAGGCATGACATCACTTGTACAAAAGTCTAATTGAATACTGACTCCCAGCCAGTGCCTAACTTCCCCAGCTACGAGGCACTTTTCTCCG